GTGTGTGTGTGTGTGTGTGTGTATGTATCTAATTATGTCTGGATGCGTATGTATTATAATCTGATTGTGTTTTTTTGTTGTGTCACGCGTGAGTTTAAGACCATATTCACAAACTTTAAAATAAAAAACGGAAAAAAAAAAATATATACATGTATTATCAGATGACCGGACGAATTGTAGCTTTTCGTCTTGTCAGACGTAATTTCAATGAAGAAATGAATTGAATAAACTATAAACATATATATTTTTTTCTTTTCTCAATAATTTTGTAGTTTTTAAACTTAATAGTGATTAAATTTGGATTTTTTTAAAATTGCCAGTTTTTAATTTTTAATATTAAATTTTATCATATAAATTTATAATTATTAGTTAGTAAAAATTATTTTTAATATTACACGTATTTAAAGATCTAAATAGCTATAATAGCAGGATTTTGTTGTCAAGCTTTTGAATCTTTCTGTACTTCGTTTTTGATTGGTTATTCTAGCTTTTTGTAACAATGCTCCCCCTAGTGTAGGATCGTTAATTCATCTGAAACTTTTAAAACCATTTATTTTCTTTTCAACACCATCCTTGATAAGACACAGAGTGTGTTGAAACAAAATGGCTATTTTGTAGTGATTTTATAACATACTTATGTTATAAATTTTTATAAAAATAATTATATATATATATATATATATATATATATATATAGAGAGAGAGAGATTGGGTTAAAATTTAGGGAAATTGTTATTGTGATTTTTGTTTTGAAATGGATTTCTCATTTTGCTTTGTCAAGTAAGTTCAAGTAACAATGCCTGATTATTTTTAATTTTATACCTCAAAATTCAATAGGTTTTTCTGTTTAGTTTGCACCCCTTTGAACCCCTTTGTTTCCCTATAGACCAAAATGGAACATCTTATGTTTTCAGCTGACAGCCTATTAGGAATTCAAGTGCAACTAAAAAGGAACTGTTGACATATGAAAAACATTTGACTCCATAGCAAATATTATCTAGAAAAAAAAATCTCTTATTCTTTGCTATATGAGATGGACCCCTTGTTTTAAAACAAATGACAAAGAGCACAATGACATGTGCTCAGGTTCATATCTTCTCTGCTGCCTTCAAAGTTTCTTGGTGCTGTGTTATGTAACTTAGTGCTATTTACCTGACTCCTCATTAAGGTAGGATATTTTTTATGGGTTGGGGTCATATGGGCCAAGGACAGAAATTGTCCAGTCCATGTGACCATGTTACACTAGCATTGATATTAAACTGACTCAACCTCTCATTACTATGAAGGATTATTATCATTAACACTTCTACAGCTGTGTATATACATATTTTACACACACACACACACACATATATATATATATATATATATATATATATATATATATATATATTTAAAAAAGAAAGGTTGCTGCATATATATATATATATATATATATATATATATATATATATATATATATATATATAGCAACCTTTCTTTTAAACATATTTTGTTGAATATGATAGACAAGGGACAATTTAATTAATTTCTTATTTAGTTTTTCCATCATTCTTACATTTTCCATTTGGTGGGAGTAAGGGAGTTCAAAAATTACCCGTATTATCCATTGTCCCAAGTGCTTTCAGCCTCCTTTGCCATTTTCAAGGGGGTTTGTTTTTGGATGTTATTAATTTCTCCATGTTTGGCTGCATGAGTTTTTTTTTTTTTTTTTTTTTTTTTTATTTTTTTAACATTTATTTTTTTATTATTATTATTTCTTATTATTATTTCTTCTTTTTTATTATTTTTATTATTATTATTATTTATTTTTTATTATTATTATTTTTATTATTTTTATTATTATTATTTTTTTATTTTTTTTTTTTTTTTTATTATTTGAATACTAGTAGGAGCATTTTATTCCAAGCTTTGTGCGTTGAACATGGCTGGAATTCAAATAAAAATAAATTAAATTTATCTTGTCTGTCATATTCATTGAAACATATATATATATATACACACACACAGGTGTTAGACAAAATAATGTGAACAGATTGCAAAAATAGCAATTTTTTAAATTCCGGCATTTCCGAGTATTTGTAAACATCAAGACAGCATAAAAGGTAAACTGCTACATTGCTTTTCCACTTATTATTTATCTTCAGGTAAAAGAATGACATACTAAAATGCACAACTTTTTGGATTTTCAAAAAGGACAAATAGTTCTTGATTAGCAGGAGGATTTGTGAGCAAAATATCTGAAATATTGAATGTGTCACAAACTGTAATGTCCACAGTTTGACAGCTTTACACAAAACAGGGTAAAACATCATCAGCAAAAAGTAATAATGGATTGAAAACAATGTTGACTGAAAGAGACCACCAACAAGCTTTAAAACAAATTGTGATAAAAAAGATTATAAAACTACAGCAGCAAAAGTGACATCAGAACTCATTACTCACCTAACCAATACAGTTTCTACATGCACAGTCTGTTGGGAGCTCCACAAAGCTGGTATCCACAGAACGGCTGTGATTCCTAAACTTCTGGTCACAAAGTTGTGTGCCAAGTTGCAAAAAAAAAAAAAAAAGTGTGATGCTCACAAAAATTGGACACTCGAAGAATGGAAAAATGTTATTTGGTCTGATGAGTCTTCCTTTACGTTATTTCCTACAAACAGGCATGTTTATGTATAGAGAAAACTACTGTGTGGAGCCTATGATCCAGATTGCATAGTCCCGACAGTCAATATATATATATATATATATATATATATATATATATATGAAAAATTTCTCAGTTAACCTGTAGAAAAAAAAAAACTATTTATAAATGTAAAAGACAATAGGAAAACTAATATTAGCTGATGCATTGGATGAAACACAGCGGCTAATATTACAGTTTTCCTATTTTTTATATATATATATGTGTGTGTGTGTGTGTGTGTGTTTTATGGGAGTTTTTAAAGATAGCATTTGTGTTATAAAGTAACTTGCACTTAGTGCTATTTCCAACCTAGCATGGCTTACATCCATATCACTAGTTCTTGTATTATCACCAAAATGAAACAATATTGAGACTGATCAGTACCTAGATGGATACCAGGTGCTATAAGCTTAAATGTGCAGATGATGTAATGGATAATGGCTTGGAATTGGAAATTGAAAAACAATTCCAGTCGGGTTCATTATATCCTGTTTAGGATTGGGTTTCTGCTTCCTTCTAGAGTCTCTGCCTGAACTCTGAAATTAAATTCACTAATTATTTTTTCCTCCTTCCCAGTAGGAGTAGACGGGTTCACACACACACACACACACACACACATCCCCAGTATTTTGGACAAGATCTTCTTGCCCTTTCTTATGCTCATATGACACACACAGTAACCCTCTACCTTGAGTGGCTCTTAGACCTTGTACTGAGTGAACATTAGTAAAAAAAAAAAAAAAAAAATTCACTTACATATACTCTTGGTAAAGGTATGAATCCACCTTTTTCCCTCAGCTATGAGTTAATTAGTTGGATTTGTATCTATTATTATTATTATTATTATTAGATGGTAGCCATTTGGGAATACCAGGTGCTGTAAGTTTGGATATGTGGGTGGTGCAATGAATAATGGCTCGGAATTGTTAATTGGAGATCTGAGTTCCAATTTTAGTTGGGTTCATTATATTCAGTTACCTGCAAATATCCTTACAAAAGGTATAAATCCACCTTTTCTTTCCCTCAGCTATGTGTTAATTAATTTTTACAATCTAAAAATATTTTCTTGCTTCAAATAACCTGCAAAAGGTTAAGCTGTAAAAAAAAAAAAAAAAAATGAATCAATCGATTCAAACTAGTGTAAGCATATGGTAACATATGATAACAAGCATTTGGATATGTTTTTATAATGTTATGTGTTGGTAAGCTCATTCAGTTTATTCTGTAATGCAGAGTATCTGGCTGAAAGCAAAATGGCAATGTTCATAGGAGACTGCCTGTCAGTGTCCTTTTGGTAAAGATGGGCAGAATTCCTCAAAATGAGCCAGCACAGCCAGACAACAATGCAGCAGTGAAAATGTTAAACAAGAGCATAAAATAATTTGAAAGTATTAAGAAAAAAACACTACTTTGTAGATAAGCCTTAAGTGGGGATGTTTTTTCAATTAGATGAATAAAATTTATTTACATTCTTACTTCTGTCTTTATCATCACAGCACTGTTTTGACTGTTGCACTCTTCAGCCTACTTCAGGTGTCTGTCAATCAGAGTAACCTGCAGGCAATTTCAAACTGAATCCTTTATTTAATCTATAATGGTAGATGGTTCTCACTCTTCTATCCATGTCTTAGAGATATCTTGTGTTGTTTTTTGTTTTTTAGTACTGCTCAGTTATTGCTTGCCTCCACTTTCCACTGAATCCGAGCCTGTTCTACTTGGTACAAGGATTGAACTCACAATTACTATGCTACTAAATTCACAAACAGGATGGTACAGCAGTTAAAATGCTGTTGTAGTAAATAGGAAGCTGACAATATTTGAATGTAAACGATAAGTCATCATACTAAAAATTCAGTCAGAATGTTTTCTTTAATTTGTCTATTTACAAACATTGAGAAAGCTTATTGAAAAATCCTCAACATTATATCTGCTCAAAATTTCCAAATAATTAATAACATTTATTCTGTAATTTTATTATTAATCTTAAATTACATTAAAGATAATTACTGGGAGTTCCATAAAGTAACACTTCCCATGAACTGCTATTTTGTGGAACTGACTCTCAAGGGGATGCTTCCCCAACCACTACAACCTTAACCTGATTTAACTGTTATCTTTCCCCACATATGTACATAAACATCTTACTGTTTCTGCTCACACAATCACCTCCTTCAGTATCCCTCTACTTTGAGTGACTCTTAGGCTTGTATAGGGTGAACATTAATTTATAAAAAAAAGTATTTGTATTTTTTATTTCATTTTTTTGTCATTGGTATTTATATATCATATATAATCTTGTATTTTTATCCAGATTCATGCTTTGATAACTGGACCTTTTGACACTCCCTATGAAGGCGGATTTTTCTACTTCCTAATCAGGTGTCCACCTGATTATCCTATTCGACCACCCAGAGTGAAATTAATGACCACTGGTGATGGAAGAGTTCGATTCAATCCTAACCTATACAGAAGTGGCAAAGTATGCCTTAGTATCATTGGGTAAGTAAGCAGTCCTTGGCCTGTACGGTTGTAAATGACTAGGAAACTTTATTTCATTTAAAACAAGATATTTAGGCATGGAAATGTCTAAACCTAGGTTGGGTTTTGTTGAGCCTAACATATGGCACTTTTTAACAGCAGCTAACTACTGCAAACCCAAACTAAAAATCTTCACTCCCAATGGAATTGGAAATAGGCCTCCAGCTCTTGCTTTCAGTTGCCCAATGACTAGGCCTGGAGTAAAGAGCACCAGGGTTTAATGAGAAAAAATGACTATTGTATTTTCAGTTTAAAATCTATAGTTAATTCTCACTTATAATCATTTTTTTTTTTTTTTTTTTTTTAATTGATTAGAGAGATGCATATGAAAGAAAAATTAAATGAACTGTCAAATATTTTATTATGCAAGTTAATGTTTTCAAAATAAAATTAACAAATTGATATTAATAAGATGTTCAAAATATGTTTTGCAGATGCCAGATGCAAAGTGTAACATAAATTTTTATTTATAAATAAATCCAAAAGATACACGGCCAGTGAACACATTTTATAAACACTATATCCTATATATCTGAATAAACAATTCTACTGTTTTGTTTTTTAACATTCCTTGCTTATCAGATAGCTTATTTGTTTGAATACTGCTTTCCATTCTCATAGATCTCCTTTATTGATGCGACATAAGGTTTTTTGTTTTTTTTTTTGGTTTTTTTTTTTAATTGGTGTTTTCAGAGGTTTCTTTGAAACCATTTTGGGGGGGTAGTGGGGGCAAGGTGGTAATGTTCAGCAGAGTATAATGTGCATGAAATAAACTTTTTAGTTTAAAGCTTCTTGGTTGTGACCTGTACCCTCCTTTAAAACAACAACAAAAAAAAGTTCATGAAATTGATAATGCTCAGCATTTCTCTTGATTCTATCAATTTTGTAGGGTTGTGTAATTTTACGGTACTGGCCCAGGACACTACCCCACCTTCTCATCTGTTTTCTAAATTGTGTTGGTTGACTATTTCCCATGAAGAACCCAACTTCTAGCCCAGCCATCAGATCCATCTATAACAGGGTGAGGATATCCTTCCACCTGTTTGTAAAGGTGGCCAGTGGATCAAGTGATAAGTGATGTCAGATCTTATTTTTGAATGTGAGGCCAGAAGAGAAATGGATTATTAAATTTAAATTGGAGTGACTTTTTTCCTATTTGAGAAAAAAAAAAAATGTTCATTTAATGAAATTACAGAAAAATAAGAAACCTAGTCAAATTATATAATTTAACTGGCCCAAGATTTTATATATTTATAATATACATAATTTCAACTTGAAAAATTTAGTAATGTTGGAAAATAGAATAAATTTTTTTTCCAGCTGTATAAGTTTGGATATATATTGAGGCATTTAGAAATGTTTTAGTTGCTTTCATCAGGTGACATAACCAAATTGGGCAAGTTTTATATTATTTTATATTTCTCCTTAATAGTGTTTGTTCCCCACCCAACCCTGCCTCATATTCTCAGTAACCACTTGCATCTTAGTGGCTTTGCCTTGCTTGGGATAAAATGATGTCACCATTTGGTATTCTTTTTAAAATAACCTTGGCTAACCTTGCTACTCATGAGAAGAAAGTTTTCAAAAATATAATAGCACTCTGCTTTGAAATGTAGCCTGTATTCAGTACACATAGCCCAATCTGTCAACTTTGTCATCTGATGGACAAGATATTTTATTAAATACTATCAGGGCCACTAGGCATATGACCATATATAAAAATGATACCAGTAATGTGCAAAGTCAAGTTAAATACAATAGTGTTTAACTTTGCACATTATTTGTAGCGTAATTTTTCGGTATAATTTCAGTCTAGGGCACATGTGGCACTAATAAACAAGTTCAGGATATACCATATTCTTTTAATATTTTTATTTTCAATTTTTTGTCACTGTTTATTTAAAAATTAAACAAAAAATATTTTACAATTAATGCATTTATTAACTTTGCCACTGTATATTTGCAAAAATAATTAAATGACATTGGGAAACACTGAAATATCTGAAAAGTCTAAAATTTAAAAAAAATATAAAATATATAAAAGATGAATGAGTAATATTTAGAAATGTTAAAATATTTTTTCAATGTTTCCTAATGCTGATTATTACATATTTAAATTTACAAATGTCTTAACTTATATAAAATATACAGAAATAAATTATTTCTGGGAGCCATAAAAGATAATCTAATTATAATTAGTATTAATTTTCTCCCGAATATTTTGTTCTTTGAAAATCGAAAATGTCTGTTTATCTTGTAGAACATGGAGTGGACCATCATGGAGTCCTGCACAAAGTTTATCAAGTATTTTAATCTCCATCCAGTCTTTAATGAATGACAAACCATATCACAATGAACCAGGATTTGAACAGGTTTGACTATCCATTGCTTTCTATCAATTCTTTCACTTACCCACTCTCTACAATTGAGGTTCCTTCTTTCTTTCCCACCTTCTCAGATGTGTGTGTAATGTAACAAATAGTTGTTTGGAATGAGATAGAAGTTTGAATTTCAGTTCAGTCTTTTATATTTGCTTCCATGCAAATACTCTTGAAAAAGGCATGAACCCATCTCTTTCCTCCCCAAATATGGATAAATAGTGGGGCATATCTGGAAAAATCATTATATCCAAAAAACTGTTAATGCTATAGTAACCTGGGAGGGGAATGAAAAAAGAATTATATAATCCACAATGGGTTCACAATCCTTAAAAAAAGTAAACCAATCCTTCAATCAAACCCTCACATGCTCTCAAACTTGGCACAAATAGAAAGAGCAAAGGATCATTATGCAAATCTTAGAGTTGCAGGGACACCACATGTGCTGTGTCCATAGCAAGATAGTCTGAGCCCATCTCTTTTCAGGTTGATTTTAAATTCAGAATTCTCTTTCTTATAGACTAATTGTCCTAACAAGGCTAAAGGGCCCAATCTACCTTATTTTCAATTGTTTGAATTCTGTTTTCTTTCCCTTTGACTGTCTGCAACATAAAAGCAAATGAACCCAGAGGAAGCTGGATTTGCGCCTTTTCTAATGACATTCATGAAAAGTGAATGAAATAGATTTTATCAGAATTTGAACTTGGCATGTCAGTTCAACTTTGTGCATTGATAACTGCACATTCTCGAAACAAAAGGAAGCACATAAAATTCAAATTGAATGTTTGGAGATGTCCGGGAGTCACGAGATTAGCATGCCAACAACTTTTTTTCTTTTTTTTTTTTTTTAATTTTTTTACCTTTCTATGATCTTCATAAGGATTAAACATTTGTACATGTCATATGTAAATATCTGGTTCACACCCCTCCCTGGTCATATGAACAGGAGTAGTGGTTTATCCCTTGTTTCCTGTTTAGGCTTGGGTTTCTGGTTCCTTCTAAAATCTACTTCAACTCAATACTTCTAACATCTGTGCATAAAACTCTGGACTTTTATTTACTATTTATTTACATTTTTCCTCGGTAGAAAGGTTTTCTTATCTGGTTCAATCTCCTCTCTAGTCTTTCAAACAGGAGTAGAGGTTTATTTCTTGTTTCCTGTTTAGGATTGGGTATCTGGTTCCTTCTAAAGTTTTCTCATTCTTTTTCACTCCTGGTAACTCAGTGGCATTATCACCTTGCTTGGAGTGAATTGATTAAAAAAAACAACTAGAACAGTGTACCTCAGTGAGCAAAATAAAGGGTTCAGTTTGACATTCCAACCACCTGAAGAAGGCCGGAGCATACAACAGCCAAAACATTGTAATAAATATGGCAACAAAGATGAGAACAATAGTCTGAACAATGTAAAGTGTATATAATACCTCATCTTAGAAATATAGACAGATACTAAAAAAAAAAAAAACTGTAGGAGACTTACTCAGTTGCCTTCTCACTCACTTTGAATTGACATCATTTTCTCTTAACAGCTTATCAAAGATCACAATGTGTAGTTAGCCGTTTTGTAGATATCCAAATTTGCTGAAGTTCATGCTTTTTACATGGAAATTAGTAGAAAATTACCTTTTTTACCCAATACTGATAGATGATGTCTTGAATATTTAATGAAACATATGCAACAATGATGTTTGTCCAGAATATATCCAGTCATTTTGAAAATCAGATGTGTGAACTTGATATAACTTGACAGCTAATTAGAGGAGACCTTATTGCACATCTGTAGATATTCTCCTGCAGGGTTACTCAGTTGGAATTGAGATATCATTGAATTTGTACATTAGGTGACCTTTTGAAACTTGGACATCTGTAGAAAATATTTGAATTATCAAGGATGATTCAATGAGAAAAGCAGATATAAAACTGATGCAGCACAATTGCCATCCAAGGAAACTGGCAATTGCCAGTGCAAGAATTAGATCTTAGAATTCCACAAACTTCCAGGATGTGCAGGTGGTGTAATGGATTGTGACCGAGAAATTGAAATTAGAAGTTTGAATTCCTGTCTGCATTTGCTTATGCACAAATACCCTTCAAGCTAAGGGTTAAATAGTAAGACTTGTATATGGAAAAATTATTAATTTACAAAAAATATTCACTCATATTCTTACAATCTAATGTGTGTTAAGGATTTAAATTACCTGAAAATGGTTGATTAGCAGCAAAGAAAAAAAACCCAAAACAATCCAAGAAAAATATCTAAGCCTTTTGAATGTTTTGACTGTCCACTCTTCACATCTTGTGTATTGGCAAAACATCACATCATCCACGACTGTCAGCATCATTACAGTCCAGATTTGGTTCCCTGTGACTTTCTAGCTTTCCCCAAAGCTAAAAATTACTGTTGAAAAAAAATTTTCAGATCCTGGGTGAAATTAAGGAAAATACAATAACGCAGCTAATGGTGACTCTAAAAATGACTTTGGAGATTGTTTTTGAAAGGTAGAAGAGACGTGTGTACTTTTCCAAATAGACCTCACACATAGGGTAGATTTCAGTTATTGTTGTGAGCCTTTTTGAAGCTGATGATGATAGTGACGTCTTATGGTTACTTCCTTATTGGTACAGATTCTACTGTTTTGAGGCAGTTGAAGAATCTGATTCATGGAGTCGAGATGATTTGTAATGAATTGCACATGATTATACTTTCTTTCCATTCTTTTTTTAAAATTTGCTAATCCATATTTTTATTTTCCATATTTATTTTATTTTTTTTTACTTCAGGAACGAAATGCTGGTGATGCGAAAAGATACAATGATGTCATCCAACATGAAACATTGCGCGTTGCTGTTTGTGACATGTTGGAAGAACGATGTGCCTGCCCTGAAGCTTTAAGGTAATTATTTCTGTAAATTCTTTGATGTGACTTGATTTCTTTGCATATTTATCAAGAATTTGTTTCTTTTTCCTTTTGTTCATTTTCTGCATGGTAAATATTTTTGATGTTGATACTCTCACTACACATGCATACACAAACATATACACAAAAAAAAAATACCTGACCATAAAATTGCTAATGAACTTGACTTTGATCTCTATTAAAGATTTTTTTCCCTTGTACCTCGACTTATAATTTTTTGTTTCTTTCATATTTTTAATTGGAGATTATTGGTATAACAAGGAAAACATAATTGGGCGGTGGGTAATAGCTCCTGTATATCTGTCTCTTCTACAAGTATTTTCACGGCAACTGTTCTGATGAGCTACTTTCTTTGGTTTCCAGACTACATGAATTTAAGCGAGCTACCAGGCTGGCATCTCGGTCCCACTCTTTCACTGCCAAAACGGTTAAATGTAATCATCTCTTCTACTCAAACAGCTTTTTCTCCTGCACTTCCTGTCTGTGGAACTCCCTTCCCCTTACTTGCTTCCCTGATGACTATAATCTTCAAATATTCAAGTGTAATGTCAATTGACATCTGACACCCTGAGCTTGTTTCTCATCCTTCTCTGTATCCTTTCCTCAAATTTGCCTCTTGTTCTCAAACCTCTGTAACACCTTGTGTGCTAGTGGCACTCCTGCCTTTTTGGGGTGGATTGTGTTTAAAAATAAAATTAATAAAAAGTAAAAAAAAAAAAAAACATCATACACACACACAGGTGATTGAAAAATAACTCTCTACTTTTTGTATGAGTTGCCAGTTAAGAGTCCTGACTTAACACCCTGTGACTTTTTTCTTTGGGGTTAAAGAAACAAGTCTATTATACCAAATCATAACTTTATAAGAATTTGAAGGACAAAATTATGTCGTCCATACCTGGTGAAATCAGTCGCCATGATTCCTGGACAACTTGAGAAGCTGGTAGCAAAATCTGGAGCCCATATTGAATTCTAAATAAAAACTAAACGCTTTCTCCTCCATTTCTTGTAAAAATTATAGTTATTTTAAAATGAGGAGTTACTTTTCAATCAGCATATATATATATATATATATATATATATATATATATATATATATATACACACACACACACACAGCACTGCTATCTGTAATTATTTCTGGCAATTGAAAAATGCCTGCAACTCCTCTTCAGTTATCTGGAATATTACAGCAAGAGCAAAATTGTATAATGGTAAAGGGAAAAAATCCAACCTATGAAAAAATGATTATCTTAAAACTCTAAGTAACCCAGGATTATTAAACAAGAGAAATGAACTGATGGTTACATGTAGGCATCAAAATAAATATCTACTTAATCACATAGATCCAGATAAATTTGTAATACTATCATGGTTTAGTTTTTAGTGTATGTTATGGTTTATTATATATTATAATTTATTGTTAATAATTACTGTTTAATTTTATTTTTACTATTACTATTTTTTTAAGCAAGATTAAGTAATCTCCCCTTAATTAAATATTTAATGATACACTATGGAATAAAATAGAAAATAGCATTTATAAATAAATACAAATCTTTTACGTTCATATGCTAATCAGTTATTTAAATTGCCAAATATGTTTTGAGAAATATATTTTTAAAATCTATATCCTATATATATATATATATATATATATATATATATATATATATATATATATATATAAAATACTTAACTGTTCAAGCATTGTGGTAAACAGATACATTTTTTGAAATTCTATTTACATAAGTCAGTCCACACTCAGCACCTGAAGATTGCATTTGGCATGAAACTCCAAGTCATGTGAACGGTGAGGGATTTTATTTATATATATATATATATATATATATATATATATATATATATATATATATATAGCTTCAGGAATAAAAACATTTCCAAAGTCAAGCTGTTTTGTAGACTATTGATTATATCAATTCATTCCTATTATATTTCCCAAAAATACGGAACCTATACAATTTGATTATTCATTTAAAAATGTTCCTACATCAAATGTACTTGAATATAAAATCAAATTTATTGAAAAAAATAGAACATTTCATAAAAAGACTAAGATGGAAAATATTTTACTTTCTTAATAATGATAACAATATTATTAATAACAAGGACAATAAATTTGGATTTTTGTCAAATGTCCAACACAAAATGATATTAATTTGAAAATGATTTAATTGATATAAATAAAATCAAAACAAGAAAAAACAACAGTAAATTTCAGAAACAATTCACAAATGACAAAATCAATAAATAAATCAAATTATTTATTTAAGCAGACAAATCAAGAACAATCTATGAAATGCAACCTACCAAATGTAACTAATTGAAAAAGAGGTAGATAAGTTTTACAAAACCACCAACAATGAATCAGAAAATAATATAAATAAAGAAGCAAAAACCATAGCAACAAAATTAACATTAGATAATAGAATTAAACAATGAAAGTAGAACCATTTATTAAATTAAAAGATCATAAGGATAATTTTTTTAAACATATAGGAAATATAAGAAAAATAATTAAAATATAGTACCTACTGCCTACTTAATAAATGTTTGAAAGTAAGAAAAATATTAAATATAAATCAATAGAAAAATACAAAAACTATTAATTGGTTCAACAGTATTATGAACAAAAACAATTGCTCTTTTATACAAATAAATATAAGACTTTTATCCATTCATTACCAAATATGTATTAAATAAAGGATTAAATTTAGTAATACAACACCAACATTCAAGACAAAGAATTAGACATAATTAATCATTGTAGAAAATCATTATTTATGATTTAATAATTGTAAGAAATTGTAATGGTAGAAAAACAAAATATAAGAAAACAATAGAAATATGTAACAAATTAAAATTTACAATAGACATAAAATCTAATCTAAAAATAGTAAATTTTCTAGACATAGCATTTAATTTAAATAATAATATATACAAACTCTATAAGAAAGCAAATAGTAATTCCATATATATAAACAAAAATTCAAAACACCCATATAATGTATTTAAGCATATATCAATCTCTATTAATAAAAGAATTGCAACTAGTTCTAGCAATATAAAAATATTTAATGAAAATTAAAAAAAAATATACGATTCAGCAATTAGAAAAAGTGATTATTCAAATAAATTAAAATACATAACTAACAATAATACATACAAAAATAAAAGAAATAGAATTTGGTTTAATCCACCTTATAATAATATAAATACAAAAATAGTGAAAAATATTTTTTAAATTGATGAACACTTATATAACAAACTATCAAACATCATTAATAAAAATACAATTAAAATCAGTTATAGTTCTATGAATAATATGAACAATGTAATAAAAAATATTAAACAAAAATAAGCAATTACGACAAAAACCTGCAAAATAGCAATAATAATTGTAAGTGTCAAAATAAAGACAACTGCCTACTTAATAATAAATGTCTAACTAATATAAAACAACTGCATCAAATAACATTAACACAGATGGAAAAATTTATATAGGAGCAACTGAAACAACTTTTAAAGACAAATCTTATCATAAAATGTCATTTAAAATAGATACACAAATAATACTTTACCAAAATATATATAGTCAAGACAAAAATATATATATATATATATAAACTAAAATTAAATGGGAAATCATAAAAAAGTACCCCCATATAATGTTAATAATAGAAAATGTAAACTGTTTAGATGAAAAATTTTGTATAATAAATTTCCATAATCAAATGTTTAAAGAAATGAATTAATGGGTAAATGCAGACATTTTGATAAATATTTACTTTGCAACTTGCATATTAATATAACATAACAAATACAACAGAAAATAAAATAATATAAATTAAATAGTATAACATAATCAACACCATACACACACACACATATATATATATATATATATATATATATATATATATATATATATATATATATGAAATGAATGATTCCCTACAGATTTATCTATTTACAATTCTCTTATATATATTCTACAAACCCTCTACAATCCTAATCAAGGCAAACTATTAGGCTAAGACTATTAGATCTCTTCAGTAATATAACATGTCGGGCACTACATTTGTTTTTTTTTTTTTTTGTTTTTTTTTTTTTTTTTATTTCTCATCTTGTTGAGAAAAGAATACAGGCACATCTGAAAATTCCGATTTTTAACATTTTTCATGATGCTTACATTTGATCAAAAGGCTGACTAATATGCAATAAATATTATTATTCTTATCAATATACAATAGTATTATTTTTGTTGTCTATTTTTTTTATCTCCTAAGTTTCTTTCATAAGCTATTATATCTGCATGTTTGTCGGATGTATAATAGTATCCAAAATAAAAGTGGAGTTGATAGGATGGTGGAAAAGCTTTTAAATGACATGTTTTGCCCATGTCACATTTGTTGCATTCAGCTTCTTCAGGTTGGAATGAAAACAAAATTATGTAAGGCAAATGCATTGCTATTTTTGAGGGTGACAGGCAATAAATTTTACCTTGTCAGGTACAAAAACAAAGGCACTCTCAAAAAGTGAAATTAAAATTCACTATAACATTACATGTGAATTAGTGAAAAAAATAAAAATAATACATTTTGTTTGTTTACAATGTTTTAGCTAGTCATTTCTCTGATTTTCAAGCTTTCTTTTTAATCACAATGTTTTTAGTCTGTTCTTGTCATTTAGCTGCTCTTGTGTTTGCTTCTTGAAAATTTGTATTATCCTACTTGTCTTACAAGACATACATTATCACAGCTTACATTGCTTATCATTAATTTATATGTAGGGAGAAATCTTTGAGCATACCAACACTCCCAAAATAACCCATGTCTGCCTGTCTCAATGTTACAGACAAAGGGTCATCATTTGCTGTGTTTATATGCAAAGTTTGAAATACAACAATGTACTTTATTGCTTTGCCTCATTTCTTTTTCTATCAAACAATTCTTTGGTGGCATTCAAAACATCTTTTACAAGACCTCCTCACTCCAGCCTATTTGTTTTCAAAATTAATTATGCTTTCTTACAATCATACAATTAAAAAAGGTGGGTTTTTTTTTGTTTTTTTGTTTTTTTTGTGGGTTTGCAATTACTCAATTGTTTTTTTTTTCCTCATGCATAATTGTTTGATTTTAATTTATTTTGGCTTATGAAAGGTTTCTATGGAATAATGGGCAAGGAAACCTGGAACATAAATCAGAATTGAACACTGCATTTCAGTTTCGTAAGAGACTTTTCCCCTCCAAATGATCTGAGAAACAATTCAAATAGATTTTCAAATTTCATAAAAACAAATAAAGACACCCATATTTTAAGTAATCCTAAAAATTCCTCATATATTCCCAAATTCCTTTGAGAAGTAAAAGTTTGAAATGTAATCATAATTTTCCCAAAAGTATCCATAATATAAACTAAAATGTCTGCATTACCAGTTGTTTTTATAATCTGTGATACTGTATTTAGTATATATTAAACAAATTCATTAAAACTTTTAATTATTCTTTGTTGGTATTCAGAATTTAAGAATGAACATTCACAAAAAAAAAAAAAAATCAACATTCCTTACTAAGTGTTCCAAAAAAATAAGCTTAAGATAAACATTTACCAAACAGAAATTATTATTTGGAATTGGAGAAACCAGGATACATACCCTAAATGACATTATAAAAATTCGGAATGTGGAATAAATAAATTCTCAACTATTCAAATGCCTTGGCATATGGATCAGTTATAACAACTTTAGTTTAGGGGGTAAGAAAATGGAATATAGGATAGGCTGTGCTTGGAGGTGCTTTTGTCCAACAAGATGTTGCCAAAAATAAAATATTAACCTGAGAACATGACCAATGTTATTAAATAGTCTTGTCAGATGTAGACATTCATAGGAATGCCATACGACGCATCCAAAATGGTCAGCAATGTCTAATCTCTCTCTCTATATATATATATATATATATATATATATATATATATATATATCTATCTATATATATATATATATATATATATATATATATATATATATATATATATATATATATATATATATATATATATATATATATATATATATATATCTCTATATATATATATATATATATCTCTCTATATATATATATATATATATATATATCTCTCTCTATATATATCTCTATATATATATATATATATATCTCTCTCTATATATCTATATCTCTATATCTATATATCTCTATATATCTATATATCATCTATATCTCTCTCTATCTCTCTCCCCATCCCCATCTCTCTCCCATCCCCTATCTCTCTCTATATCTCTATCCCCATCTCTCTCTCTATCTCCATCTATCCATATCTATATCTCTATCTACATCTATATCCATCTCTCTCTCTCCCATCTCTCTCTCTCTCATCTCTATATATCTCATCTCTATATCTCTATCTCTATATATCTCTATCTCTATATATCTCTATCTCTATATATCTCTATCTCTATATATCTCTATCTCTATATATCTCTATCTCTATATATCTCTATCTCTATATATCTCTATATCTATATATCTCTCTCTATCTATATATCTCTCTCTATCTATATATCTCTCTCTATATATATATATCTCTCTCTATATATATATATATATATATATATATCTCTATCTATATATATATATATATATATATCTATATATATATATATATATATATATATATATATATATATATATATATATATATATATATATATATATAAAGTTATAAATAACTTGGTAAACCGAATTGGTAAATACAAGGAGGATTAAATCCTGAGAGCTCAATGTGAAGAACAGAGCTAATATTTAATGAAAAACAGACCACTTTAAGGTACAATTACGATAATTTATTTCACCAAAATCCTTTTTAAAGGATTTTGGATCATCAGGTAAAACACTTCCAACAATGAAAGTGTTTACCTGATGATCCGAAATCCTTTAAAAAGGATTTTGGTGAAATAAGTTATTGTAATGGTACCTTAAAGTGGTCTGTTTTTCATTAAATTTATTTATTTATATATATATATATATGAGAGAGAGATAAATAAATAAAAAGAGAGAACAGCAAGATATATAATCCGGTGTTCTTATAGATATTTTTATTTTTACAAAATAGTGCTCAATGTAAATTCGCTTGAGGATGAAATGGAACTAATGTCTTTAATTTAATCACAAAATTAAATTTGTGGCTTTTAGCTTCCATTTTTGAAACATGGTTAGAACTGTGTAGCGAAAAAAAACGTATTTTAAATCAATTAATTTATAATCTCTCTCTCATATATATATATATATATATATATATATTTTGTTTTCTTCAGATCAGTAATTAAAATTAACTTCATACAAATGAATGCTTTTAGGTTTTAAAGAAGCTAAGTTTTCATCAGATTCTATAGATTGGTACTACAGAATCAAAGAGGACTTTACTAAATAACAAAAACCACATTACTTGAAAACTTCCAATAGCAACAATTAAAATGTGGAGCATGTGTATCTCGGAGTGAAAAGAATGACATAAGATGTTGACTTTCCACACAAGCTTAGACAAAAGGTTGTAACTGCCATCCATACTAGGGGAAAAAAAGCAATTGCAGTGGCTTTGAAAAACTATTTTAAGAGAAAGATTTTATAAATTGCAACCACCAGGAATGCTAACTGCTTGGTGAATGAATGTCAAATGTTTACTGTAGGAAAACTGTTGATCCCATCACTTTTTTTTTTTTTTTAAATGGAGTACATACGTTTGCTTATCACCCAATTCACACAACTTCCCCATCTTTTGAACAGGAGTAGAGGTTTATCCCTTTTCTCCTGTTTAGGATTGGGTTTCTGGTTCCTTCTCTTAGTCTTTTCAAAATTCTCTTTCACTCCCAATCCTTGCCTCTTAGTGACATTATCTCCTTGCTTGAGGTGAAGTTATTACAAAAAAAAAATTGAAATATATGAATTGATATGGCAAGATTGATGATGGGGAAGAAGGAAAAACAAGACAGTAATAAGTTGTATGTAATGCCATTTGCATTTGAATTTCCGTTATTCATGGATAATATTTTTATTTTATTTTGTAATGTCCATTGGCTTTCCTCTGTCTTTCCAACTTTATTCAAGTTGTTTTGATTTTATTTCCCACAACTCATTGAAGATGATTAAAAATGGACTTCAAGGGTGGTGGGGTGTTGGGTAAACCCTGTAGGTCTTAGAGTGGACCAAATTCAAATCTCATGTACTCATGTTGCAAAGAATTCTACCAAATAAGAAAAACTGCAACACTTGAAGACTTTCAACAACAACTAAAATATAGAACAACTCAAAGAGAATGACATAATCAAGATGTTGACTTTCCACACCAATTTAAACAAAAGGTTAGGAAGAAAGCCCTCTGCTATGAATACTAGAAAAAGCAATAACAGTTAATGGACTTGAGAAAACTATTTTCCAGAAAAACTGTTCTAAGAGAAATATTTTATAAATGTCAACTGATAGTAATGCTAACTGTTTGGTAAATGAATGGTGAATGTTTCTTATAAGGAAACTCAACAAACCTTTGTGCCTGCTAAAAAAACAGTGTGTCAAGAGGACTGTTTTTCCCATGTTACAGCTTTTAGTTTAACTAACTTCACTTGTTGGCAATGTTTGTTTTTCAAAAGTAATGATTAGAATTGTAATAAAAACTAAACAGATGATGAAAGTGAATTTAGACATTTTCGTTGTTCTTGAGAATTGCCAACAAAAATAATAAACACTATTTGATTGTTTATTGGAATGGTTGGCAAAACATTGGCGAATTGCCAATTGTTTTGAACTTTATAAAATAGTAAATATTAGGGATTTACTTAAACTCGGTTCACATTTTAATAATTTAGTAAATGTTTATAAAATTGTGAATAGAAAATTTTCATATTTCTTTATAAATTGGTAAATAATAAATATTGCATTAATTGTAAAAAAATTTCTATTCACAATTTTATAAACATTGTACATTTTTTTGTCCTTGAGAATTTACAACAAAAATATTAAACACTGTGATTATTTACAAGAATTTAATTTTTAGAATGTTGTAACTATAAAATTATTCTTGTAAATAATTAAATAATTCTTGTAAATAATTAAATAGTGTTTAATATTTTTGTTGTAAATACTCAAGAATAAAAAAAAAATGTACAAATTCACTTTCATCATATGTTTAGGTTTTGTTATAATTCTAATCATTACTTTTTAAAACAATGAAACATTGCTGAGGAGTGACAGTAGTTAAAATAATAGTGGTGTCATTAAAAAAAAAAAAAAAAAGTCTTTTTTGACAGTCCCACCCGCCCAGATATGAAGGTCCGTATTTGCTAGCAATTGTTAATCCCCACATTACCATTGGTTTTCCTGTTCCACTCAAACTTTCCAAACTTTATTCAAGACATTTTCTAGACTAACAATTTCTGGTAGAATCGTTTCTAAAAACAAAAAGAAATTAAGTTCTGAATTTTACAATCCCCGCCCCTAAAATTTATGTTTTTGGCATTTATATTCAGTTGCGTATTGGAAATATAGAAACAGGTTTATCATAAATTGTTACTGATTAGCTAGGATGACTGACTGTCTTTAGAATGTCTTGCTGAAAATTAATTCAACTAAAAAATGAAGTATTGGCTTTTTCTGTTAACATCTTGAAGTTACGGGTGGAAAATCTTTCCTTTGAATGGATGGTTAGGGAGAGAGGTTTTCTTGATGGTTTATGGATAGAGAAGAGATGCTTTTCTGTTAAGATTGTATATGTGCTTGGTGGGGGTTCTTTCCCATCAATGAATAGTGCCCGTGGGGGGGTATATCTTAGAATTGTTCTGTATTGTTTTCTTTTGGGAACGTTTCTTTAATTCAACCTTCTTCTTTTTTTTTTAAAAAACAGAGAAGTAATGGAGAAATCTTTTCCTGCCTACTACGAATATTATGAATCAGTATGTAAGGCTAATTTACAGAAACAGGGCCAGTCAATGTTGGTAAGTTTCCAGACAACCATCTTTAATCTGAAAATTTTTCTGTCTTTGAAAAGTTATTTGATACTGATTTACTATGTGTAGCTTCGATGTGACACAAGTCCACAAATATGGAGCATTTGAGAAGTCTTGAACTTCTCAGTTATAATCAATCTGCAAGTCAAGTACACCATGTTGAAGTGCAACCCCCGACACAAGTTACCTGTTAAAGATATTGAATGTAAAGAGTGAAGATGATGATGAGACCAGGGCTTAGTAAATGTTCTGAAAATAAATTTCAATTTGGCTCAGGTAATAAATTTAATGAGAGGGGGACAGATAACTTAAGTCCCAGTATTTGAAAGTCACACCCCAAGGCGGTAAAAAATCAGTCACTTTTTCAGAGTGCTTCCACATTAAATAGACATTATTTTCAACAGTTATTTAAGCCAAGTTATTGAAAGTTTCTGAAAAACACACAAATTTCTAGTTTGTGTCTGTCTTTTTCTGGTGGGAGTGTTTTTTGTGTGTGTGCATTTTTATGTTGTTTTTTTTTCTTTGTGTGTTTTAATGTTTGTTTTGCATTTCTTTTTTATGTTTTTGGCATTTCTTTCTTTGTTTTTGTGTTTTCTTCTTTTTGTTAAAATAGTCAAATCTAAATATTGTCCAGATTTTGTACAGGCCACAGATCTTTTGATTTTTTTTTTTTTTTTGATAAGCCCTTGACATAAGGTAGATTTCTGGTCCTCCTCCTCCTTGTCCCTTCTTCTCTAACCTGCTGATGTCATGTTTGGCAGGTAGTTGTTATTCTGAAGGCTGCGTATGATGCTAATCATTTCTTGTTGGCAAGTGTCTGGGTCGCCACTTCTGATATGTTCCGGTATTGTAGGCATTGAACGATCCCTTTCTTCACACTGTATGGACGATGGGAATTGAAGTTCGAGATATTGTGAAGGTTGGCTTGTGATATATAGATGTTTAGAATCCATTCTCTGTGCAAGTTCCATCCTGGGTAAGACGATAAACTACGTCCAACTGCAAGGCCTCAGATCCAGAGGTTTTGAGGAGTGTGGAACCACCTCTTAATTGCTGGTGTTCCCAGGTCCACCCTGACCTGGCATGGTAGCACCTGTTAGGGTCCCAGCTATGGGCAAATAGTTAACACTCAGATTACATTCGTGTCCTAGGTATGTCAATAAACTACATCTGTGTCCTGGGTAAGATGATAAACTACATCCAACAGCAAGGCCTCTGATAATGTTTTTGAAAAAAAAAATATTACCAGCTATACGTTTTTGAAAAAAAAAAAATATTACCAGCTATACGTTTTTGAGACAATAATATTACCAGCTATACGTTTTTGAGAAAATAATATTAACAAATGGATTTTTGACAAAACAAAAACATTACCAGGAAAAAAAAAAAGTTGTTGGCATTAAATGACCCATTGAGGTTGATATGCTGTAAAACAAAACAAACTGAACCATTTTGTGCGAGTTAATACATCCAGGAATGCTAACTAGCTAGAGGTAAAAATAGCAGGACAGACTAGATCCTATAACCTTGAGTGGCAACTGGTCTAGGAGAAGGAAAAAAAAAAAACTCTGAATTCAAAATCAGCCTGGAGTGGGTTGGGCTCTATCAGGCTGTCCTGCCCAAAACACACCCACTTCTGCTATGACTGCAGTACATGTGCTGCCCCTATGACTAATGGATTATGGGTTTAAAAAAAACAAAACTTTCTCCTGAATAAATGGATGGATTGAGTAATGGCAACTAGCATGTAAGTAAGTATTACCTATCACCTGTTTAGATGTAAAAATTGTGCTTTATAGATTTTATGAAAGTAAACATGGCACACCAATAATGTCTTAGATGATGGTCTGAACCTGAACTATGACATGCATTTCACCTTGCATGCAAATTGTTAACATGTTTTTGTATTTTGAATGATTTTTTTTTTCTTCTTCCTTCTTCATTTTGTAGGATCCATTTGGTGATAAGCGAGGTTCATTTGATTACCAGTCGATCTTGAAACGATTACAAGCTATCAAGAAGAAGCTGGATGAAAAGCAGGAAGTATCAGATGTGGAAGAGTCAACCGATTCTGAAACAGAAGCATTAGGAAGCTCGAATCAGAGCTGATACTGAAATTGATATTGAAACCATCAACAACAGACCATTTTTTTTTTTAAAGATCTTTTCTATATATATATATATATATATATATATATATATATATATATATATATTATTTTTTTATTTTTTTTGTATCTTAATACACTGATGGACCAGGATTATTTGCTGTCATAGGGAAGAAGCGAAGATGTACTGGTTTGTCTGTCTCTCTCTCTCTCTGTCTCTCTCAATTTTTCATGAAAGATCCAGAGAGCAATGTACAAGGAAATTCCATGCCAGTGGAATTTAACTTCTTCATTATGAGATTAACCTCAGCAAGATTGAACAACTAATGTGTGACTGTGATGGTTTCTCTCTCCAGTTTTGTTTCATAGTTTCATTGTAGCAGGAAACTTTAAAATTAAGCAGTTTTCAAATCAACTGCTTAAAAATCATAGAAGTTCCTTTAATTTTTTTTTTTTTTTCTCCACATTGGTGTCTAAATTTTACAGTTCAGCTCTCTGAACTGATTGGATCATCACAGTTACCTGACTTGAAAGCCCAATGAAACTAAATTTCGAATTATGCTACTTTGACTTTTTGGGCTATTTTTTTAAAAATAATCTGGGCTACTAAGAAGTAAATTCAAAATTTAGTAGCACTCTGCTTTCAGATACAAACCAGTTCACTACTTTCTAGTAAGTCTGGTAATGCTACAGTTTAGTTTGATTCATAATCTGTGTTATTCACATTGAAAATATGTCATTTTTTCTCCTGCTGAAAGTCAGAATCTGGTCATCAAAACAAGTCGACCAGTTCAGGACACATTACAATTTTTCTTTTTTTAATTTTATTATCAAAATTTTTTTTCGCTCTCTATAGCTTAATACAGATGTTTTTCAAGCAACATTTGATACACTAAAATTTTAGTTTCATAATTCAACCATATTTAACAGCTTTAGAAAAAATCTCCAATCCTATTTGAAGTTAGAACTTTAAAAAATTGTCTAACATTCTAATTTGAAACATTATAAATATTCGTTAGACTATGTGAATTTTTTTTCTCTCAAATATATTTTGGCTAATCTTTTCTTCAACCTTCTTATGGTCTATGTAGTATGTCATCAGGTAATTTTTTTTTTTTTTATTAAACTATTCACTGGATGCCATATACACCTGGGGAAGGTTGGGAAATGAACCAGCCAAAATCAGTTGAAAGAAGAAAGTGGGAAAGGTAGAAAAAAAAAAAAAAAGATGATGCTTGTCTCCATAATGTATGGAATAATCTTTTTGAATCTTTCAAACTGTTTCTCGCAATTTAAAAATTTTGGGAAATTCTTTTCTCATGAAAAGAAAATTGATGAATTCTTCAAAGATATTTTTTTCTATGGAACTTCAGATTTTGGAGGTTGTTGATATAAATGCAATTAGAATACAGCTTATAGAAAGTTTCAAATAATTTTTCATTCTTTGAAATTTTAGTCTTTTTAAACCATATATATATATATATATATATATATATATATATATATATAAAGAGAAAGGACAAGAGGAAAACGTTTTTATCCCAAGATGTTTTGCTCCTTGAGGAACTTTATCAAGCCAAGTGTACAAATTTTATTTACACTTCTTTTTCAAACCAACGTAAAAAGAATTTTAGATTAAAAGAAAACAGATAATTCATGAAATTTAAAAGTAAGTTAAATAAAAAAAAATGATAAAAATAAATTAAATAATTACATAAAAAAAAAAATCCATAACAACATTAATTCATCGTTTAATAGGCCAAAAATTACATCACTTAGCATCCTCTAGAGTTAAATTTTCCTTTACACAATAAGATTTTAGAATATTTTAGAGTGTTCTCTAAACATTTCAAAATTTATTTTATTTTTCTCCAAATTACTTCTGTGGATAAATACAGATTACCAAATAAAATTTCCACACTTGTCTTGATAAAGTTTAAGAAATGAAATAATTTGGCATAAAAGGTGTCTCTCGTCTTTTCTTATGTATGTATGTACATATTTATAGATAAAATGTCACCAAAGACCACTAAACGATTCAAAAGATAAAAACAAAAGCTGAGACTAAATTTAACAATTATTAAAGAGTGATGGGATTTTAGGGTTTTTTTCTTTTTCATAAATCTTAAAGAAGGAAAACAAAAAATTTGTAAAATTGTCTTCACCAAATTTGGTGGCGTTTTCTTTTTTCCTCTGAAATCTTGTTTTTTCTGGCTAAATGGCATTTTTTCTTGCTTTATGATTTTTGCAATTATATATAATTTCATATTTTTTACTATGATTGAAATAGTAAATTGTTTGAGAACAATTCTATTTGGAAAATTGGCTGAATACTCATAAGATTATTTAAACACACACACACACACTTATATATATATATATATATATATATATATATATATATATATATATATATATATATATATAACTACTTTTAAAAATTTAATTCTATCAGTGGAATTTATTTAAAATTCTTGTTAAATAACATTTATATAAAATTACCTTAAGATTTTTTAAAAAAAAAAAAAAATGTAATTAAAACTTTTTTTTTTCTTTTGTTTGGTGACTCATTAGAGTTTAAGTTTAGATGGTACAAAAGTGAAAATTATATTTTTGGAAATTATTTCAAGAACACAAACAAGAATTGCTCCGACTCTTAGACTCAATCATGTTGTAACCACAGTGTCTTGACTGTTCATTTTATAATGCCTTTCATGTTGACTATCTATAAGAAAGCAAGACATTTCTTGCTGATTTTAGACCTGAAAGCTGTAGAATGGCCAATCTGAAGCCTTGTGATAACTAAAAAGGCCAAATAAAGAATGAGTTGAATTCTTGAAACCAGTTGGAATGATAATGACTATTCTGAAAAAAAAAAAAAAAAATTATAGAAGTTATGATTAATGAAATAGTCTGTATAAATATTTAAAAAGCCTATGACATGAAATATTTTTTGACTGTCTTTAGCCGATTTCTCTTGGGGGCTTGTAATCTACAAAAACCATGAAAAAAAAATGAATATTCTTGTAAATTTGATAATGTCAATGCTTTAGATCAACATTTTATCAAAACTGAATAACAAAACAAGTCGACACTCAAGTTGGGATAATCTTTACGCAACGCCCCCCTCTCCACACACACACATGCATGCACAAAGAAACCTTGCAGTTCAATCAGTGAAGTTATGCAATGTTGAGCCCAGTCAGTAGTTAGATGGGGACCACTGGGTACTATAAGCAGCCTCCTATAATCTAAAATATATTTCACTTTTAAAAATACCACAAAGAATTGATAAGCATGAAGACACAAATCATTTTATATATATATATATATATATATATATATATATATATATATATATATATATGTGTGTGTGTGTGTGAGAGATAAAAGAAAAGCTATTCTTAGCCGACAAATTTCATCCTCTAAGGGGCTTTATCCTGGTAATCGAAGGATGAAACGTGTTTGCTAAAAAATAGTTTTTTTTCCTCTTGTCTCTTTATTCCTCTACAGATGTCTATCTGAAACTATTTAAATACATGCACATATGTAAAGATAATACAAATATAAAAGTTATCACTTAATATCGAATATTGTGTGTGTGTGCTAAAAAGTGAAGTTGTGAAATAATTTTACTTCTCAGCTTTTTGGCATCCATTCAGTAAAATACAGAATGAAATAATTAAAAAAGAAAATTTTTTTTTTCTGTTGCATTTAAGTCTTTATAGATTTTCTACAAATCTTGTTGCCTTTTTCTTTGTAAAATAGGCGGCAGTGTATAAAAGAATGGAAAAAAAAAAAAAAAGGGTTTCCTTTTTTTTGCAATATCCAATCTAAAACGTGTACATAATTCTCAGACTAAAGGTGGTGCATTATTTTGTGAAACGTCAGCTGAGTTTATTGAAGATATTTTGCCGATTTTCAAATCTAATAATAATAAATGGGATCTTACTGCTAATTTTATTTTATTCTTCTTTCAAATCTGAATTGGCATAATAGTTGTCAATTCACAAAATGGAATTGGTAAAACAGTCTTTTATTTATTTATTTCTTCCCCTAGTCTTTGGGGGGGGGGCACTTCAGTCTTCTTTGCTTCTGGCATCATGTAACTAGATAGAAAGGAGATGCACATTGCTGTCTAAATTCCTCTCTATCGACTGTATGTTCAAAATGTTCAGTCCTTATCCGCCAGTCCAGAAAAGGGACTTTAATGAGTTTCTGCAGTTATAAATTATATTGAATCACTATTTACTATACTTATTTCATATTTTCTCTCTCTACCATTTTCAAAATAGATTTTTGTTTTTTTTAAACACATGGAGAATTATTGGGATTAAGAAAGTAGACATATTTGTGGCTGAGTGGTTAGAACGTTTGCATTCTGACCATGAGACTGAAGTTCAAATCTCACCATGGTCGATTTGTCAGAAAGGAGACTTTCTAATGTTGATCCCAGCATGTGACACTTTTGCAAAGGGCCTGAAAACCATACCACAGATTGACCCAAGCCTTGTGAGTGAAATTGGGTAGACTGAATCCTTGGGGGCCATTGATAGCTGTGCTAGCACAGTCGCATGTCATCGTGGGTGAGGGTTTGAGCATGCTGGCCTTGTTCAAATTGTTGATCACGCTAGATAACACGCTCTTTACCAGAAACTGTAATTAAGATCTGCTCAACATAGTTGCAGTATAAACCACAGGTGGTGGGCTCTGTGGGTGTTGAATAAACACAAATGGGCTTGAGCAAGCATCTGCAATAGGGACTGGCTTGTTGCTCTGGTAGATGGGTATCCTCGAATGAGTGGCCAGCTATATATATATATATATATATATATACGCACGTGCTGATGTCAGATACTTATCTAACTCTTATAAGAGACAGACTGATACTTGAGTTTCTCACAGCCACAAGTGTCAGGCAGGCATTTTGTCTTGGTCATTTAGACATCCAACACTGTCTATACTGGTGTCTGTCCTTTTTTTTTTTGGTTCCTTTCTTTA